TGCCTTTAATCTTTGAAATTTGTGTTTTTCGAAAACGCGGGCGTACACCGCGGTGAACTAACAAGTGAAGGATACCAAGTCGAAGTGGCCATTTGCTATGAGACTTAACCCATTGACGACCATGCAGTCCACATGTGCAGTTGTATTTTTTGTTTTATTCATCTATATTTCCGTTTTTTTACAATTTTTGTTTTCAAAACATTACATCAGGTCTAGATGAAACCACATGAAGCGTGACCCTGAAAAATCTTCTAATCTTGCGATTGTAAAGGTGTTTTTTCGAAGGAGCACATTACCTTGGTGAATTTTTCGTTCGTAAAACAACTTCAAAAAATGAGATTTTTTGAAAAGACGATCGTCATTAGCATTTTGTCTGTCATCGACCAAATGCAAAGCTCGTAAAAGTTCCCCCAAAACGATTTCTGGTAATGATTGAAGTCATAATTGAATGACCACAAGACTGAGTTCCGGTTCTATAAACAAGATCAATAATCACTCAGTGTGGGCATTCTTTTCAAACACATTCGAAGGAACATTCCGAAAACTTTTAAATATCTCTTAAAAACTTCAAAAAAAAAATGGTCATGCTGGACCATGAGAGTGGACGAAAGGCGCGCCGGTCCCTCGCGACGGTTTTCCCGCAAAACGTCATGGTCGTCAAGGTTAAGATGCTACGTATTTCCGCATGCTGATTTCGAATCTGCTTTCCAAATTTGTCATACGATTTCCTGGACGAAGTTATGAAGGTTGTTTCACGTGAGTGCTTAATATAAACAAACACCTGAGAAATGGACGTGAATGCGCTCTCGGCGGTAATTTAGAGCAGTGATAAGCGTGATGCTCTATACACACGAAGAAGGGAGAACCTTTTATGCTGATTTTGCCCCCTTCGGCTGCCTTTTTGATACCTGCGTGATTCGAACCCTATCAAAACTAATATGGTCAATTCCTTTGCTCTTCTTGTGTACTCTACATCCGCAGTATGACTTCCATCACTTAATAAGCAGATCTGGTAACATAGCGGTGAATTCGAAACGAAGGAAAGTTCCAGACAAGGAGCAAAGAATAAGAAACATCGGGACAGACTGATTTTCACAATCTTTTACGAGACCGACCGGAAAATAGAACTCTGCAGACGTCTCTGAATAACCTCGATGAGTGCCAAAGTAACCAGTATACCAGGGCAAAACAGAAGAATTCAGCAGTACCCAGTTAAAGAGATAGTGAGCGGAGAATATAGTCGCGAGTGTACACTTAAAATTTGAGGTCATTATCTGCTACATATGGTGATATTTTAAAATAATACTGAACGACTGAACGACAGGAAGAAATAAACTTTGTGGCTGCATTAGACTCGTAGTACAAGATTGGACCTCATTACCTCTGGTTGCTCTTGTGAAGTGGTGCAGATTTGCTAATTACATGATCTTTGGAAAAGGCCTAAGAGTCCAGAACAAAGCAAATGATGTTGGTGATTGACACCCTAATTTGAACTGCTTTATCGTAATGTGTTGTTTACTGGTTCGGACCTCAAAGTTTATGCACGGGAGAATGCCTGCTTCGGAATCTCGCCAGTAGTTTCTTGTGAATGCTAGATTAGGAAACCTAGGTAATGCAGGAAATTTTGCGAAGGGCCTGGATAAATACAAACATCTTCTGGCTTGGCGAAAGTGAACATCGGTGAAAAGACGAGACGTAGCTCCGAAAGAGTGGGTGCTAGCAGGTACTAACTGCTCGACCGCTTCCTTTCACTTCAAGCCTCTTGAGGCTTGAAATTTCCGAGTGAGACAGAGAGTGTTTCTTCAGAGACACCGCAAAGAAAGTGGTGTGTGTGGTGTGTGGTTATGGATATCGATGAGGTAGTAGTGTATGTGTATGTGTAGGCAGAAACGGAATTACTTCAGGCATCAGAAAGACCACTGAAAGCGGCGAAATCAACTTCAAAAGGGTTTACTGTCCTCGAGGGAAAGGCCCCGCAAAATGCGAGAATCGCACGAAATCGGAACCTATGCCTTATGCATATGAAGCATCACGCCTATCTCTGCTCTAAATCACCCTATGAGCGCAGTTACGTCCATATGTCGAGCGTTAGCTTGTGTTGAGGAATCACCTGGGACCACCTTAATAACTTCGTTAAGAGATTCGTTTGTCGAATTTGGAGAGCAGGCTGGAAATTAGCAAGGATCTCAATCGTAAGATTAAAAGAACATGTGGACTAAGTAGATCAAGAAAAACTTTTAAGAAACAATTTTTTTACTCGCTCAGAATGTCTTATGTAAATCAGCTGATAATACATGCTTTTCTTTTCACGTTCTTGGGTTTAATGGTTGAACTAGTCGAGCAACTTGAAGGAACCTCGAAATTTTAATTGTGTCGAATATCTTCGCGGCGGACTTAGTAGTATGGGATTGTCTCGCGCGTGTGCGTCAAGTTGTCTCACAAGGGTCATTTTTTGGAAACTGAAGCTGAGAGGCAACATCACAGGAATATTATGTTGGTAAATGAAAAGAGCAGCCAACAATGGGATTCTCTTCTTGTTCTTCCTCTCAGCGAAGTACAAACAAACAACATTGATGCAGTCGTAAAGGAAAGGTACGCAATTGCTGCCTAAAGGCCTGGAAAGCTGTAGAAGTGAGACAAATTGCTTGTTATTAGTGGAATCTGCAATAATGGAATTTCCACCGCCCCGCTGAGGGAGTGCAGCCTAGCCGTGCGCCACTTAGTCGCCTGGCCAATTTCGATTCCTATAACGCCAACGACATGGAACTTTGCAAAAAACATAAGATAGCTGGATTCGAATGCGATGCTGAAGACACATTGGATTTTGGCGTACTGCTAATCACATCCGGTGAGTAAGATCTAGGAACAACTGACGATGAAGTGGATGAGGTACTGAGAAGAACGGAATCAGATGAATCAAAAGAGAAGGAATCTGATAACGAAAGCATTTCTTCATGGTGCAATGATGTATCATCTCATGGTCTTTGGATTTTTAATGGCTGCGAGCCAAATGATGAAGTTTTCAGTTGCCAAGGACCGGTAGATTTTTTCTATCTGTTTTGAACGACGAGTTTTTGGATCTGGCCAGCCCTTATGGAACCCATTGCAGCGAAGATTTTCGAGGACCGACTCTGACTATGACGGCAAAAGGGATTGGTTATGTTGCGTTTACGAGATTATTGGATTTCGTGAGCAGGGGGAGTTCGCGACATGGCTTTGGTGGTCATGCCATTACTTTGAAATTTATGGCTAGAAGCAGATTCGAGGAAATGGTGAACTATCTCCATTCGGCGGGCAATGAAAATTTTGACGGCGACCGGTTATACAAAATCAAGCGACTCGTGCAAATGTTCAACGAGACAGCGGCCAAACCCCACTTAATTGAGAAGAAGTGTGTGTTGATGAACCCTTTGTTCCATTCCGAGGGAAAATCGTTTTCAGGCAGTACATGCCTGCTTAGCGGCACAGATATGGAATCAGATTGTTCACGTTATGGCTAATGGTGGCTATACAGACAGTATAGAAATGTATGCAGGCAAAGATCCATCAAAACCCAACCACTCGCTGATAAAGTTGTGCTAAAACTTATGGAAGGTTATCCGATGAAAGGTGCATCGTCTGCACGGGCTTTTTGCTCTAGCGTTGGGTAGCCGAGAAATTGATATCATGAAGAAGTCACCTGTTGAAACTCTCACTAGGAACAGAAAAGGTATCCTGACGAAATCAGAAATCGGGGAAATGAAGTTGAAGAGAAGCCAACTTTGTTGCAAGCAGAAGCGGAATGGTATTCCTGTACAGAAAAGAAGAGATGAAAGGGACTTGTATATGATCTCTACAAGATATGACGCAGCGGTGGGAACGTCTCAGAAACCGGAAGTTGTGGATAACTACAACGAAATGAAGGGTTTCGTCGATCTGTCTAATCAGATGGCATCGTAGGCACCATTTGTGCGCAGAACCATGAAGTGGTACAAGAGAATTTTTCCACCTGATTACGCAAACACTGTTGCCAACGCTTGGAACCCGTACAAAGATGAGGTGAAAAATATCAGGCTAAATGACTTCAAAGTAGAAGGGTTCGAATCTCTGCTAAATGTTGGTTATGGCTACACTTCGAGTCATTATTGAGTCGTATGCATAACACCCAGGATGGGGAAAGGGAGAATCACCCCAAGGAAATGCCTGCGAAGAGCGCGAACGTTCAAATGGCATTTTATCCATTGCTTTGTGTCAGGTTTGTGACGATGGAGCAAAGTTTCTCCTATAAACAGGTGTAGGATCGACAGCCCTCGACAGTCATGTGGTGTTGGCCTCTGCGACTTCACCTTAGCGAGAGCTCAGAGAAGCGCGGCCCCCATTCATCCTCCACCTTAGGAAGGGAGTCCTTCGTACCCAGGGTGGGGGATGAATGTGTACCTATAATTGTGCACGGGGCGCTGATGGTCATGCAGACCGTTACCCCGCTATTCGCTACATTATTGGTCTGAGATCTTTTCCCCTTAATCTCTGCTGCCGAATTCATCAAGTATTGTTCTGGTTTTATTTTATTGCTGCAACACCTACTATTTCATCTTAATTGCTGCAGTCTTTTCTATGGAGTGGTTTTGTTTTCAAATAAGGAGGTTTTTCTTTCTAGATTTACATAAGTTATCGTGAGCATTTTGCATCATGGTCCTGGTGTGATTTAAGAAGGGAACCGGGGTTATTTCTGTCAGCAATCAGTGAGTAGTTTTTCGTCTGATTTGTGAATTATTTCATATCCTATTACATTTCATTCTTTGTACACCCGACTATTTCTGACTTGGTAGGTGATGGCGAAATAACGCTATTTTTCCGTAGTCTTTATTCCTTTTATTTTCCAGAATTGTTCTTAGCTCACAGTCTTGATCCTGATTGAGTGCTGCTAGGTATTGCAGTTGTAATTGTGTAATCAGTGACCTTCTACTAACTCTCTTAGTTTTTTTAACGTCTCAATTTTTCAACGAACCCTGCCTTGAAAAATGGTGTACGAAGCTTTGCACGGAAATCCCCTCTTCTTGCCTAGATGCGAGAACTTGATGCCCATCATGCTATCCACATTCTTCATGAGCAAGTGGAAGATGAAGTGTTGAAAATGTATGATGATAGCAAAAGTAAGAAAGCCTGGCAACTAGAGCAAAAAAACCATGTTTTTGAGCAAGAATTATTCGTATATCATGTGTAAAGCTTGAAATAGACGCTGCAATGGACTGAGATTCTTCAATGCGGTACCTTTAGAGAAGTGTATCTTCCAAGTGTATAGCGCGCTGGTGACGAGGTATAAACTTTAGGAGAGGTGAAGTCGAGGGCTGCGGTGCTGGGGGTAGGTGCATGAAGGAAGATTGCGTATTTGAAGGATTTTCGAGGTATGAGGTTCTGAACCGATGGTGGTGCAGAAATGTAAAGGTTGACGAATTGAGGAAATATCACGTATCGAATAAGTAATCCTGAATGGATTGGTACTGGTCAAAAAGAAGTCACCTTTAGGGTTGAGGGTTTATTTCCCGCCAACTGGACGGTTTTTCTTTCAAAAATTGCAAAAACGGCCTGATTTGGAGTAGGGTTTTCTGAGATTTTTTCGAGTTTAAAACTGCTCGAGAGCTCTTTCTTTCAACAGTAAATCTCTTTTAATAAAAGGAAGAAACTTTGACACTCGCTCTCTGACCACGGAGCAGCTCTCCGCCATTGCCACGGGCAGTAAACAGAAATTGACCAATGCTCAACATCCAAGCTGTTTGATGTGTCACTGCCTAAGATTACGAAGGATATTGGTAGTATTGAGTCTCGTACGGGCCCTAACAAACAGGCCAGCTCGGATAGGCTACGGATTGCCGCTGCTAAGGACTGCAGGAAGATCGTTTGTGCGTCGACCCAAGATCACAGAAGGGCATCTTCCGATATAATGGCCGAAATATCGACGACGGCGACGTCGTTACCATCTACGGACGCCGTCAACAGACGCCTGTGGGATGCTGGATTATAAGGAAGAGGACTTGTGAAAAAGTATCTGGATCTCTGAAAATTAGACGAGCTCGACTTCAGTGGGCGCGTAAGCACCTTCAGGCGAAGTCTCTAGAGCGACTAGTCAAAGATTATTCCGCTTGATACAGTGGGATTTCGTTCGTAAACGACCTGTAAATACAATTTTCGACCTCAAGTATCAGTTGGCAGCTCTCAGACATGGGCGGTTCAGTATTGCTTTGGTGATGTTTTCCGAGTCTAGGCATGGGGTCCCTGCACCATAACCCATCACTATGGACCAACAGAAGTGCGTAGTCATCTTGCGGAAATGCATGCTACCTTTCGCCCGTCCTATACACGGCAGCAAAATTACTTTCCAGCAGGATACCCACTCCGAACAGAGATCTAGAAGGGGCGCTAGTGGCTGACTCATCGGAAAATTCGATGCCTTGATGGACCCGGCCAGTCCCCTGTCGTAAACATCATTAAGCCCTCGTGGCAGGAACTCAAAAAAAGGGTAGGTGGTAGAACAGCCACATATGCTGCCCAGAGGTTTGGCCAATTTGAAGAAGAATGGAAGAAGATTGATGAGTGCCTGTTCGACAAGTTGTTCGAATCAATCCCCCGCAGATGCCAAGCCGTTATCGATGTCAACGGCTTCGCTACAAAGTATTGAGTTAGCAGTTGTTTAGGTTTTAATCTCATGATGATAGCGATTGAGTCAAGTGATTTATTTTGTATTCTTGAAGCTGGTATTATTCTGTACTGTTCAGGACAACATGAAAAATGGCCTTTTATTCGAAATAAAAAGAAGTTTTGTGACTTCTATAGTGGGAACATTAAGAATCATTACTGTTGTCAACATACCAAAAAATCATTCAAAAACAACGAGTTTGAGACGAGTTATGAGAAAAAAGGTTAAAGATGATTTATTTTGACCAATACTGTAGTTCTGGCGACCTTTTGATGGCGCTGTATTCATCCCCAAATCTCTTAAATTCCTGTAAAAGGTGTGAAATAGCCCAACTCTTGAGCCAACTGGTATTTAATAACTGTTTAACATCTAGTGACCACAATATCAATTATTTATCTGATATCTGGTGTGCAAATTTTATTCCTTCGAGGCTTTTTTTCTATACGCATCACTGTCTTATTGTCCTCTTCGTTTGCTTACTTTTGAACACTTAACCACGGCCTGGTAACAGTGAAGTGATATTTAATTTTTGCATCTACATAACTCAGAGCACTTTGTACTCAGGTGCGTGATAACTGGGTGCTAGGTTCGGGATTTCCACAACCCTACAAGTGCATTTCGGAGAACATCCTAACCATTCGCTACTTCCTTGAGCGTTCTTAGTGTAAAGTTCCCCTCCACTTTGCTTTCCTGAGGCAAATATCTAATCTCTCTTTAAATTCCAGTCCATCTAATCGGAAAAGACGAACTCCAGATACCAATCTAACATTGCTCAGAGGGTCCTAGAGCCGTTAAATGCTGCGCTCCAGCGTCTTTTATCTGACCCACGGCAAAACACATTTCCTTGGGGTGGTTCTCTCCTTCAGGTAGGGATAGCCGAGTGGATAAGAGTGTGGGTTCACGTCTGCACTTAGAGCGAGTGTGAGTTCGAATCCTGCCGAGACAACACCATGCCTTGCAAAAATTGCAGAAGTGGTAGCGGTACCACTGTCAGGCCCAGGTTGACAGGCCGGCTGATGGAGAAACCCAATCATAACAAACATGTCTGAAGTCTTAAAAAGTATCAGTGAAACTAGGACGTCACCCGGAAGTGGCGCACAGGACCCCCGCCCGAGTTCTGTTCTGTTCGAGCACAGAGGGCTACCAAGGAATGAACGACCTCGGCCGAAGAACTTAGTTCTAATGAGGACTCTAAATGTGGGATCGCTTACTGGGAAGTCCCGAGAGGTCGCTGATCTTATGAAGCGCAAGAACATCCAAGTCTTATGCTTTCAGGAGACCCGCTGGAAGGGAGCAAAGACCAGAGAAATTGGAGATAGTGTCAAACTCTTCTACAACGGAGAAGACACCAAACAAAATGGTGTGGCCATAGCAGTGGCAGAATCCCTCAAAGACTCTGTCTCCGCTGTCAACAGAATCAGCAGTCGAGTCATGGCTGTGAGTATAGACACGAAGGAGGGGTACTGGACTATAATGTCACTGTACGCACCTTAAGTCGGCTGCTCCGTCTACGAAAATGATGAGTTCTATGTGAGCCTTGACGTGGCCATCTGATCAGTTCCGGAGGGGGACTATCTCACCATAGGAGGTGATCTGAATGGGCACGTTGGCAGTAAAAGCAGGGGACTGGAAAGGGTACATGGAGGTAGAGGAATAGGAGTCAGAAATGAAGAAGGAGAGAGGGTTCTTGCCCATGCCATAACCCACGATTTGGCAGTCTGCAGCACCTTCTTCGCAAAAAGGAAGTCTCAGAAGGTAACCTACAGCAGTGGAGGGAAAGAAACGGAAATAGATCATGTGCTAGTAAGAAGATCGCCCCTCAAAACTATAAAGGACATCAAGGTACCGTCTGGAGAAGATCTGGCTCCACAGCCCAGGCCTCTTCTAGCAGACATAGCCATCGATCTTCCTAAGAAACCAAAGACAAGAACACACGAACGGAACGGAGCATCCGGTGGTGGAAGTTGCACCAATTCGAAAGGGAACACCTCGAAGAGAAGGTACTGGAAGCCGGACTTCCAAATCCCGAAGAGCCGATCTAGCAGATCTGGAGCAACGCTGCAAAGGCCATTTTGCGATGTGCAAAGGAATCGCTGGGGAAAACTCGAGGTGGTTTCCGAGGGGACAGGGAAGCATATTTCTAGATTTAGATTTATTAACATGCGCGAGCACATGTCATTCAAAAATGCAATTCAAACATAACTGTAAAACCAAGTAAACTCCAAAATATCAGAACATCTCCAACATGATAAATGAGTAAATATACTATGGGAAAAGGCAGATAAAATGAAAGAGCACAAACAAAAAGTACAATGGATCGATAATAAAAGTTTCCTCTGTGAGATGATCGTTAACAATTCTTTTGAAGCCCGAAAAACAACACGGAATCTGCAACTTCTTACTCAATTTAGTTTATTCATAACCAGCCCTGAATGTGAAGAAGTTACGCCGCAAACCGGACTTAGGTTGCTGAAGCACAATTTTGAGCATATTTCTAGATTTAGATTTATTAACATGCGCGAGCACATGTCATTCAAAAATGCAATTCAAACATAACTGTAAAACCAAGTAAACTCCAAAATATCAGAACATCTCCAACATGATAAATGAGTAAATATACTATGGGAAAAGGCAGATAAAATGAAAGAGCACAAACAAAAAGTACAATGGATCGATAATAAAAGTTTCCTCTGTGAGATGATCGTTAACAATTCTTTTGAAGCCCGAAAAACAACACGGAATCTGCAACTTCTTACTCAATTTAGTTTATTCATAACCAGCCCTGAATGTGAAGAAGTTACGCCGCAAACCGGACTTAGGTTGCTGAAGCACAATTTTGAGACTTTGGCCTCTAGTGGAAGAAGGATTCAGAAGAAAAAAGTCACGCATTCTAGATCAACTAGACCGTGAAGTATTTTATAAACCATATGAAGATCGTCTTCTTCTGACACTTAGCGATTCGAGCTTTAGTATCTTACCAGTTGAGCTGCGCGCGATACCGTGCGCGTTTCATGACCTTTGATAAGTGGACTCCCTTAAAGTGATTCTAAGCGGATTTATTCTAGTAGCCCAGAAGTGGGTTCCATCGATAACGGATGAATAACAACTTTTCTTTCTACATTATGCTTCTCTCGATGGAGACATCTCCCGCTTTCACATTTTTCACAGGGATTATTCCTGCTATACGCTTCATCATAGCATCGGAAGCGAGTAAATCTAACAAAATATTTTTCTCTTCTACCCGTTGCAGTCACAAGTTTTAGCATAGACAAATCTTGGAATAGCGAATGAAATCGAAATCAGCCTCAGTTCCTCTTGTCAAACTTCTTATTGTTCTCATACCTATGCTGTGCTCAAGTTGTAACGAAAACTCATTTGCATTTCTACATATTATTTATTTGCATCTGTCAGAGCCGTCATTTGAACAGATATTACTTGTTTGGGGAAGAATCTAACTGAAAACTGAAGAAACAATTAGAGACAGAACAAAAGAGAACTGTAGTCACTCGTGGTGGAAGAGAAGAAAAAACAGGGAAACATCTCGGGTAAAAACCATATTAACATTAGCATAACCTTCAACATTCTAGACAAATTTTGATGTTGAAAGATATCGTTGTTCTTCATTAGTGGTAAGCGATGCGTTCTTCAGTAATGTTTAGGTGGAGTAGACGGTGAGACGACAAGGGGAACTAAAGTAATAACTCAAAATAGGTTTAATCGACGACTTTATAAATTAATAAAATCACTTACCATAGAGGATTTTTGAGAGTTTTATGGGGGACGAAGAGGACAGATGCACTTGAAAGACCTTTAAATGAGACAGTACAGTTGTTCTAATCAGTAGACTTATTGATCAACGAACTCTGCCGCCGTGGAAAATTTTTAAGGAGTTTCAGTGGAGACGGAGAAGATGGGAACGCTTGATAATACCTGAAATGAGGCATTACAGTAATCCAATCGGCAGACTTATCCAGTGATTAACTTACCACAGAGAGTATGAAAGAGCTCTAGAGGAGGTGGAGAAGTAGGAGCCTCCGATACAACCTAAAATTAGAGTTTAAGTAAGTTCGGTCAGCAGACTTATTCATTGGTTAACCTACTGCAGAGGATTTCCAAGAAGGTGTAGAGGAGGCGAGGACGATAGCAGCGGCTGAAAATACCTGAGATGAGACATTGCATTAGTTCCAATCGGTAGACTAATCCAGCGATTGACTTACCACAGAGGATTTGAAGTAGCTCTATAGGAGATGGAGAAGTAGGAGCTGTTCATAGAACATGGAATCAGATTTTACAGTGAGTTCAATCAGCAGACTTATTCATTGATCCCACTTACCGCAAGTGTTTCCAAGGAGGTATAGAGGAGGAGAGACGGAGAGAATAGCAGCGTTTGAAAAACCCTATACTGAGACATTACAGTGGTTCCAATCAGTAGACTTATTAATCAATGAACTTTGTTACCGCAGTGGATTTCCAAGGAGCTCTAGAGGAGGCGGAGAAGTAAGAGCTTTTGATAGAACCTGAAATCAAAATTTACAGCGAGTTCAATCAAGCTGGAAAAAGGTATAACAGTAATCAATAAACTTATCAATGCTCTCACCATAGGGAGTTAGTAGTAGTCGTAGGCGGGGACGGTAGGAGTATTCAAAGACTTTGAAATGAGTCATTATAATAGTTCCCGTTAGTAGACTTATAAGTCAACTGGATTCCTTACCGTTGAGGATTTTTAATGAGGTTAGGAGAAACGAAGAAGATAGGAGCGATTGAAACACGTGAACTGGAAACTTACTTTAATTTGAATCAGTAGACTTATCCAATGATAAACTCGCTCACCGGTAAGGATTTTCGAAGTTTTAAGGAAAGCGAGGAATATAGGAAGAACATAGATAACCTGAAAAAATGTTAGAGCACTTGCAATCAGTAGACATGTTAATTCTCTCACCCTAGAAGATTGTTATGGGAGTTGTAGAGTAACCGGAGAGGATTGGAGCGATTGAAGGGCTAAAATGAGCGATAGGGGCGACAGAGAGAACCTGAAATGAGACCGTACAGTATTTCATTCACTAAACTCATCCAGTGATGAATTCTGTTCACGGCAGGTGGTTTTTAAGCAGCTTTAGAGGATTCAAAGGCGACAGGATCGATTGAGGTGACCTGAAAAAATGCTGCACTAACGCAATCGGTAGTTTTAATAATGGTAAACTATTACCATAGCGTATTTTTCGAGATGTTCCTGTAGCGAAGGTAATGGAGAGGCGACAAAAGGAAAAACTTGAGAATTGTACTCACAGTAGCTTTAATCAGCAGATTTATCAATTGATAAACACTCTTACCACAGGGTATTTTTCAAGAGATTCAGTTAAGTTGTAGAGAAAAAGGGCGATTGGAAGAACCTGAAATTGGTGATTCACAGCAGCCCAAAGCAGCATAATTTTGAACTATATAACTCACCACACCGAATTTTTGTGGTAGTTATAGCTGGGGCGAACATGTTTGTAAAGACCGAAGAAACCTGAATCGAAACCTTGCAATAGATATATTTCCCAAATTGTCAGCTTAGTAGACTCACCTAATAGAATCAATGGAGAACTGGCGGAGACTGTTGGCGCGCCAGGATGAATGTCGAGCTGAGATCTTTGTGCAGGCCCAAATAGCCGATTCAGGGACTCGCGAATTCACTTACCATAGAGCACTCCGGAAGAAGAAAAGAAGCGAAAATTTAAGTGCATTTGATTGGATTGAAAGCAATAAAAGTCGTCACGGATAACTGGAATTTTTTCTGGATGAATACATACAGAGTTTCTATTTAACCACTCCGTCTCACGGCCATATAAAATTTATCAGTTGATTAAGATAAGGCGAGGGCTATGGAGGGTTTGGGGAGTGAAGTCGAGAATATTTTCTACAAAATACTTTTGTAGACAATATTCTTAATTTTCGTGCTTGGTGAGAGGACCTTCACGGAGTCGGCATTTCGAGTTCTTGACAGTGCAGCATATAGTTGTCCATGGGAAAATACATTGGCGGGTAAATAGACTCCAACTTTCGATGGCCTTGAGCCTTGTTGATGGCAGTAGCGAAGGCCAAACGAATCGGAAATTGTCGGCGGAATGGAAGCCCTTTATCTGTATACAGGCCTATGCGAGGGATAAGAACGAATTCATTTTTCCTCATTCCAGTAGCAAAGCGGCATCCAAGCTCGTATTGGCTAAACTGATCCACAATAAGTCTTGTGCCGTTACAAAGGCCTTTGGATACATCAAGGTTCCGGAGCAACATGACAATGCATCCTTGCTTCAATCTGAGTTCATGCGGGGGCATACCACCTGGTTGCAGCTTATTTAGGTGCTCCACTTGGCAAGTGAATGCATCTTCTGGGTCTGCGTTCTCCACTTCGTCAATGCTTCTGTAAACTCGGAATTCCAGTTGCTCAGACATTCGTTCTAGCGCAAGATCATTCATGTGTGCTACGTGTATGTTCATAGGAGCGAGAATTGCTTTTTCCGCTAGCTCTGCAATGTCACTCACTGAGATTGCTTCACCAAAAATTTCCTGTATAAGATCTCCCGAACTATATAGCGCTGGAGGTAGCTCAATAAAACTATTTTCATCTTCCGGGTATGCTCCCTCTCCAATCTGTAGCAGCATTCTTGCCCACTCTCCACTATCTGCTATAGCTCTCATGTTCACTGAAAGATGATGAGTGACAAAATGCTGCCACAAATGAGACCTCTTAATGCACGCGCTTTCCAAATCTTCCTGTCGTCCTCTCTCTATAACAGGGAGCACCTGCCGAAAGTCTCCCCCAACCACCATAACTTTACCCCCGAATGGCGATTCATTTTGCATGCTATCTCTCAACAAAATATCAACCGCTTGCAATGTCCACTTAGGAACCATTGAAATTTCATCCCAAAAAATGATGAGAATGTCATGCAAATCTCTGGCTTCAACAGGCTCCCTTGTCATCGTACTCGTTCTACAGCCGTCGTGTATGTTCAACTTAAAGGTACTGCTTGCAGTTCTACTTCGCGGTAGCAAATTAGAAGCAAACCCGTCCAGGCCACACACATGACGCTTTTCCCCATTTCTAAAAGAGTGTGATACAGAGCTGTATACAAATATGTTTTCCCGCTCCTCCAAAATATCGTCTGCTGCTGATCTTTGATGCTCGTTTAAATTATTGAGCAATTCTCTCCCCCGAGCTGCGTGTTCAGGTTCGGATTCATAATCCTCATCTATATATCCTGGCCTTCGATCAGCCGGAGGAGTAATAAAATTGCTTAAGTTGACTCCACACATCTGCATTCTATCCATAATGTCGTAGTAGGCTCAGATTATTGCCTCCTCATTGCTCAAGCTACGATGCACATAATTTTCTGCCATAGCCGACTTGAACTGCTCCCACAGCTGCTTCGGCTCTGTAACGTCGCAAAAACATAAAATACTACTGAAAAGTGATCGAAGTTCTCGTGGCATTCGAAACTCTGCCGCTTCTCTCAGACAAGTTTCGTAGTGGGAGTCATCATGCATTAGTCCGAGAGCCTTTGCTGCTTACTTGAAACTATTACAAATTACACCATTCACAGTCTTCAGCTCATCGAATGACTTAGCTCCTTTTCTATTTAGGAGAAGTATTCGAAGGCTGTAGCGCTCAGAATCCAGTGGGTGCGCTGTGTACATTCTCCCTAATTGCCGACTTTGCTTCCTTCTGATGCTCCACTTATGTATGTGTGTATGTGTATGTGTATGTGTATGTGTATGTGTATGTGTATGTGTATATATATATATGACCGGAAATTCATAACTCCACTCCCCGTTGACCTAGAGCGTCCAAATTTGGTGGGAGTACCACAGATAGTATGGGAACGCTTGCAATGGGTGGCAGGACCGGACTTCGCCCACAATGGGCGGGGTTAGCGTAAAAATTTTAAACTTGGACCTAGAGCGTTCAAATTTGGTAGGAGTACCGGCGGCAGGATGGGAACGATTATGGTGGGTGGTAGGACTTAACTCCGCTCACAGGAGGCGAGGCATGAGGAAAAAAGTTAATGTAGACTTCAAGCGAAATCTCGAAACCAAGGTTGAATAAGTCGCAAATGAATCGAGTTGCTCAAACACATAGAGCCTAAGGAGTTCTGTTCATGGCGGACGGGGCGCGCACGGATTGTGTTGGGGGTATGTGTTTGGCCGGCAATGAATAACTCCTGTTTTCATCTTCCGAAGCCTTCTATTTTGATAAAGGTGTAGGCGGGGAAGCCATTTTAACACGAGAAGGAGGGGCGCCCGGCGGCGTCAGCCGGGAGAGCCGATTCACGCATAGCGAATTTCTCACAGGAAGGAATAGCGCCTGGCGAAGCCGGGCGTCACTTCAAGAAGGAATGAAGGCCGGCGTTAGCCGGGCGGCCTGACTGTTTCAGTCATAGCCGCATATAAGTTGAATAATTTTTCACTTACAGTAACTCTAATAGATGGTGCAATATACCAAACTATTTTTATACTACGCCCAGGTGAGAAGATGCGGTAAAAGTCTTCAAAGGATATTAGCACATCGCAGTAATTAGCGCTAGTTTGACCACAGCTATACTCCAAGTCATCCAGCTATTTGTCTGTTCCTATCAGGAAGAAAAGTACTCGAAAAATTGGGGTAAATATTCATTTGGAAGAAGTAAAAAGAATCAAGAAGGTAGAAGGTCGAGAAATGTTACAAAGAAAAGACTTATGTAATTGGATGGTAACGGTGCAGCCATTGTAATGCGTTGCTCGCGTTTGGAGGGTGGCCTGCATTCGATATCGGCCCACAATCATGCATGTATCCTAAGGTACATGGGGGGATGTAACAGCATCTGCAGTTGCTAGGTTGGCCATCTCGAACTTGTCCCGACATCTGAAGGTGTTTTTTCAGGTAAAACCGGACTGTGTGACAGACAGACAAACATACATACATACAAACAAACAGACACACCAAACTTGTGATTTATTTATAGTAAGGATTCCGAATTGCACCACGGGGAATACTACTATAAGTGAAACCAAGAGAACTAATGAATACCTTCCTTGTGAAGCTATGCTGCACTCGTTCTAACCTATTTACTAGCGAATTGCTGCGTGGGGAAAAACATATGTGCCGTATTCAAGCATAGGTCTCACATAAAGTTTGTAAGCTCCAATAAGAGGGAAGGGATCAATAGAACAAAAAGACTTAAACAAGTGAAAAAGCCCAACATTGGCATTGTTGGCGATACAACGACAATGCTCTTCGAATGAAAGATTTCTATCAATTATGAAACTTAAGTCACGAACAGTGTCGGTTTCAACAGTTCTGGAATGATGAAGTCCAACGAATTGTGAGCTGCCTACAGAACTTCCAAGAGGCTCGCCATGGCTGCTGTCGCGAAGGTGGAGAACACTGAAATGGACGCCTTGTATGAGAAACTCGGTAGTCGGGAAGGAGGAAGTTCGTCTTCCGTCTGATCCTGGTGAAAGCGCGTCATCGCACCACTCAGAATATCGGGTTTGTGAAGTCCATCAGGAACAGCGAGGGTGTGATCCTAAGGAAGATTCGCGAGGTCAAGTGTAGGTGGAATTAATACTTCGACGGGCTCCTTAACGAAGAATTCGCCCGTAAGAACAGCTCCCAGTTAGAGGCAGCGGCTGGCCCCATCAATCTCTGGACAGAGAGTGAGGTGTGTAGAGCAATGGGAAAGATGAAGAATGGGAAGGCAACTGGTCCGGGTGGATACCCATTGAGGCACGAAAGGCGCTCGGGGAGTACGGGATAAAGTGGCTCACCCGATCCCTGAACACTGTGACCGCTAAAGGAAGAATCCCAGATGCGTGGAGGAAGAGTACTATCGTTCCCATCTTCAAGCAGAAGGGGGATGCGATGGAGTGTTCCAACTACCGGGGAATCAAGTTGACTGCTTACACGGTTAAACTGTACGAGTGGTTGGTCGACTCAAGATGGAGAGAACTAGTCCCAACATCGCAGGAGCAGTTTGGCTTCATGCCTTAAAGGTCTACAATGGATGCCATCTTCATAGCTAGGCAAGTTATAGAGAAGTATCAAGAAAAGGGTAGACCATGCTACCTAGCCCTCCTTGATCTGGAAAAGGCATTCGACCGTCTCCCGCGACAAGTCCTCTTGTAGGGTAGCCGGTTTGGCACGTGTAACCTAGGGCGTGATAACCTGGGGATGCGTCCTATCCACGGGATATGCGACGCCGTGGCGAGGATAGCTGGGGATAGAGCACGCCCATAAGGACAGCTATAAATAGAGCTGTCATATTCTTTTGTAACCTCCTTTTTACTTGTCTTTTAACTTGCTTTTACTTGTTTTTGTTAAATTCATTTGTTGCTCTTGTGTTTTCTCTTATATTATAGCGAATAAATCGTTGTAAAAGAACGACTCTCTAGAGCGCTCCGAAAACGAAGGTGTCCACAACACCTGATCTCTCTGATGAAGGACATGTGCGATGGCTCCACCACAACAATACGCACCCCTCATGACCAAACCGCAGCAATAGATGTCACGGTTGGGGTACACTAGGGATCACCTCTGAGCCCGTTCCTCTCTCTGCTCACGATGGAGGTCAACACAGAAAAACTCATGGATGGACCACTGAAGACCATCTTCTACGCTGATGACATCGCTCTGATAGAGGAGAACAAGGAAGAACTCCAGGACAAGCTCCAGAAGTGGCGAAGAGTGTTGGCGAAGAATGGACTCCGGCAACGTGAAGAAGGCCAAGTTCCTCAGCCCCGAGGAGAGCAAGCAGTCAATCGTCGACGGTCGCGGGGAAGCCATCGAAAAGGTCCAAGACTTTCGCCACCTGGGGAGTGATCTAGCCACTGATGGTAGCGTGGACCAGGCCGTAAAATCCCGAATAAGTGCGGCATGGATGAAGTGGAGGGAGTCCACAGGTATCCTCTGCGACCGTCGGTGCTCCAAGACTCTCAAGGAAAAGGTGTATCGGAGAGTGATAAGGCCCTCGATGCTCTACGGCAGCAAGTGTTGGCCCGTGAGTAAATCCTGTGGAGGACAGCTCCACTCCGCTGAAATGAGAATGCTCAGATGGGCCTGCGGCTGGACGCGGCTGGATCGGGTTAGAAATGAAGACGTCAGAACGGCTTTGCAAATAGCCGCAATTCAATGATGATGGGAGAGCAGCGCTTGCGATGGTTCGGGCATGTACTAGGAAGACCACAGAGCCATTCGATAAGGGAAGAAATGGAGTTCGAGGCTCAAGGTAAGCGACAACGAGGACCTCCAAAGAAGAGATGGCCTGACGTGATCAAGGACCTCGCCGATGCCAAGGTGACGGCAGAAGATGCCGCAGATAGAATGGAATGGGGGCGGCTGACAAGAGCAGCGGACCCTGTGACGGTGCGGAATTAACGCTAGGGAGAAGAAGAAGAAGGTTCTCTCCTTCTCTACCCTGGGCGTTATGCATACTTCCCAATGTCACTCTATGCGACATGCGTTGGAGGAGTACCTGAAGCTTACAAATTAACAGGTGTGTTGAGTGTTACGCAGCCATGTCCAAAGAAAAAGGATTTGCTATGGCACTGAAAAAACAAAAAGGGTTAACACGCGTTGCAGCAAATGCAGGAAATTCTTTTGCATTGATTGTTTCAATAAAAAACAAGTTTTGTCACGTAGGAACGTAATTTCTTGAAGTTATTGTACCCTTTTGTAAAATTTTTATGTGTATTCCTATGATTTATATGTTTGTTCTGAAGCAGAAGCCAAAGTATAATTCAAAATGAAACTTCTACAAGGTTCAGAAAATCTTTGCTGAACCAGACCATATTTGCTCCGATCACAGACCTTAGTAGTGGTCCGAATGTTTTGTCTATAGAATAAACACAAAAAAAATCTAAAAAGTCGAAATCGTGGAAAAACAGTGTGGTGACACTCGGTCCCACGCGATCTGCCAGGCTTGACGCGCATGCGCGTCGAGTTATCAGTGGGTTAAACCTTTTCATAAAAAAAGAATATGGGTTTAGGCTCATCGTTGCGGTTTTGTCAGGCGAACACGGGAGATTGTGCTTTTTATCTAGTACATCATACATGTACAGTTTGAAATTGTGTCAGTTTAGACCTCTCTATAATCTTCGAAAACGAATAGTATGCTGGGAAAGGAGGTGAGTGATGAGAAATCCTATCAGCTCACAAGCGAAGTTATCACAGCAAGGTCATAGTAGACCATCTGTAGCAGCATCCTCGATTAAACATGTTAGGAAAGAGGTTATTTATGTTGTCAAGTTAACTGAGGGCTCTTCAGTAATGCTAAGTTCATATAGAAAAAAACGGATTTGTACCAAGGTTTCGTTGTCATACGGCAGTAATACTCTGTCATGCTGCGTTTTCCGTCCTCTAATTTTTCCAATGAGAGGCGACTGCCATCCACAAAGTCATAACTTCAATGAAATGTACGTAGAAGTATGCACAACTAAACAGCCCATCTCGAAATGCAAGAGTGTTTTTCTTGCACTATGTTGGCGAAAAACGAACAGGTGCAATATCCGTGAAGGCCTCTCTAGGCGCTCCCCATTAATGTGTAGGAGAGGTTGCAGAAGGTTGCTGGATACAATCGCTAGGCCCTAGCTTCGAGAACTTCTTGATGAGCTTCTTATATCCAATCAAGAACCTCCGTTGTAGTCATTGTAGAATCTTTCCCGTACAACCCTGATTTTTCGTTGCCTCAAAGATAAAAATGGTTCCTCCTTGTAGGGTGGATATGAGGCCCCCTCTTATACCATGTCTGGCGCTATCATGTCGGAAAACGGCCTAGTTAGGGCGTTATAAAGGCTCAAAGACTGGCTTGTGTGTAACCTCGGACGAGTTTCACCGGCATTGTAGAGGCTGCACCCTTTACAAGGGAACCCATGTAGGAAGTTCATACAACATTTCATGACCCCTAGTGGCAGTGAAAGGCAGTTCTATACAGTTCTGGCATGATGTAGTCAGCTCTTTGCGCGATTGCAACAACCGAAATCTCTTCCGAGTACCCCTTCCATGTCATTTACGTCGTGGAGACCCGTCCAACCTCTATTTTCCCTACTTTAGAGGAGCCTTATTTCTCTCAAAATCGGCGAACTTGCTCGCTTTCTTCACCACCAACAAACTAATCCCAACCTATACTTCCGCATTTCGGCTAAAAAGAGGTACCTCAAAATTATCGTGAACTGTGCCCTTAAGGCGTGTGGTGTTATCTGAAATCGAAGTGCAACGGCTACAATAACTGCATTTAGAATGTTGAAAGGAATATTTTCAGGATCAGACGGATGCTGTTGCGGGGTATACACAAAAAGGTGTTGAATTTCTAGAAAGAATAGGTGTTTTCGCAAAGGAGCGGGCCCTTATTGAGGAGGAGTATGCCGCCAAATTGAGGCAAGTATAGGGTAAGTTATGTGCGTACGTTCACTGAAAGATTTTTTTCAGAACTTTAGCCAAAAAATCTCTCGGTAGAAAAAAGGAAGATGAAGAAGCGGCTAAACATTTCACTTACGTGAGGTCGTTTGCAAATTTACTCCACGAATTGGAGCTACTTGCCGGTCAACATGAGGTTTGTTGCCATTGGTACACCTAGTTAATTGTAGGCGATGTTATCAAGATGACGTGATTTTGGCACTAAAAAGTGTGAAGTGCTGAAATTAGATTTTTATATTTTTGAACGGGTCTCCGCGATCAAGTATCAAGTATTTGTCATTGAAAAAAAGCGGCGTACGGCATTTTACAATCACTCTCGTGGATCATTGTATTCCACTTTTGACGGATAGCATGATCAGTTAATAATAGTCTTCTGCGGTGAAATAATAGCAATTAACAACCATAAAGTCAAATCGAGTTACACTTGATAATAAATGATAGGAACTGAGATAGAACCTTAGAAATCGAAATTCCTGGGCACATGTGCCGTTTAGATCAACAGCAAAAAGTGAGCACTTTGTTATTTGAACTGAAAGATGGGGTCATGTGCAGGTGATGGTAGGAAGACAGAGCAGTTGCTGAGAGTTGATGAAATGTCTTATCGGGAACAATTTTGCCTTTCCAAAGGCCTTCAAGTGGAGACCTTTGTATATCGGTAGAGTTTGGGAATATGTTCACGAATGTAGGAACCAAAATTGCGAAATGAGTTTTCTGAGCAGATTTGCGCAACAAAAGTCTATTTGTAAGTCGTGTCAATTTAAAAGGTGGGATCGCTTACAACATCGTCTTCGAAGATTGTGGTTTTGCCTGTGTCAATGCGTGAAAATCTGAATACAATTGAAATGAACCAAAAAGATGAAACAAACACGTTGGTTACAAAATGACACAGTACACATGGTGCTTCTCCCAATAGCCATGAACAAAACAGTTGTCTCAAGACCGAACGAATGTTTATCAGAAGTGGCAAGGAAGCCTGGGATCTCCCCAACAAATCTAAAACTATACCAAAAGGATTCAAGGAAGTTCGAGAATTGAGGGACACAAAGCATATTGTATACATGCGATAAACCTTGAATATGCCATCAAAGTGATATCAAAGTTTATGTGGTTCATCATTTCCACAGATCTCGATCCTGTTTATTTCAATTTTGAGAGTAGGAAGGATGCAGGGTTCAATAACAGTCGAGCTCCATACTTAACGCGGGCATCACAACAAATAACGTTATGAAATATGAACTTTTGGCCTGACTCGACCAAGGCTCTGGCTTCTAGGATTTGATCGAATCGATCTTTGTAGAAAACACCGTCTAGAGTTGAGACGCATCGTTCACTACGAGTGTGTCCACCGATTTTATTTGTTGACCAGTTCGTCACCTATGCTCATTTTTCTCCCCGTGTCTGGGTTGTTTGCAGACGAATTTGAAACTTTTGTTCAACGCAACACCCATTCCGTTGCATGTCCCGCCTCCTTGAGTGGGGCGCTGCTAACTTCACACACCTTTTTCATCCTGACTTATGTATGTCCCACCCAAACCCTGACTCAACCGACGTGCTCAAACTCACTACTTGCTCCTCAGGTCAAACATAATTTCTGCTATACAGACAAGCGCACCGTTCATACTTGGCTCGTAATGATACGTGATTCTAGAACGTTTTTCAACAGTGATATGAATTTTTGATCCTGGCTAGGTCCACAACGATGCTCACCCCGCCCGCCATCATTGGACCACATCGCTTTGATAACCATTCAATCTTTTTAATGCATTTGCACAGAGATATAAATTGTAGATCATATGTCCACAACAGTGCACGACCAGACTGAGTTGAAGATTTGACTGTTTCCATCAATAGTTTCAATTTCGTCCTTTCTCCTAGCCCAGAGACTAAACCGTTTTTGAACAAAGTTATGTTTTTTACAGCGCAACCCCCCCGTGCACGCACCGGTCTTTGTGGACAAAGTTTGCGCATGCCCGGTACATTGTAGACCTTGCTAATTACTTCAGTTTTCCTGTCTTCTAGGCTTTTGATAAAACAAGTAACAAATTTATGTAGCAAGAACCGCCAAAAAACGACAATAACGTTAAAAAGTTAACCCAGTCCTCACATTTGCTCATTTTCTCCATTTTAGGTAGTTTTGCTCAAGACAACGCGCCCCATACGCAGTTATCGACCTTGCTTTCCGATATTGGCCTGCCTCTCCAGATGTTATAACGAGTTTTGTGGCAAATAGTCAAACAGACGCTGGCGTTTTATAGATCGTAAGGGTCTTCGCAGATTCTTGTCTTCGTTCATTGCGAGAAACGTACTTCATAGCTGACTTATTCGTATAAATATCGGAAAACGTGTCAAAAAACTGTTTCGTAAAGGGTGCACAGCAGACTGGAAATTTCACAAGGCGTTGAGCAAACCCACTTATGCCTGAGGAGCGAGATATATTAGCATTACAGAATGTTATTGTTGACAGCCACAATTAACTGCACCTTAAAACCGACACTGCCTTCATGGAAACTTTGACTGCTAATCACGTGTTAAGGATGAAATGCCACATTTCGTAAATGTACCAGTCAATTACGCATACATTACAACCAATTTGCAGTTTTCTCATTCTATTATATTTCGTAGAATTTGCAGTCAGGTTAGCATTTTGAAACCATTTTGCAAACTTAGCAATCTATTTTATAAATATCAACTCTCCCGATACACTTTCGTAAAATCGACCTATGTGTTTACATCGCATACAGTCCTCCCCACTTCACCCTCAATTTATATATTTCTTATTCTTATTTTTTATTCTACACTATCTTCATTATTACAATCGAAAATCTCGACTACTTCATCCACAAAATGAATTTGACGTTATGGTTATACTCTGTACTAATACAGCTGATGAGGTTTACAAAAACAACTGATTGCTATATGTATGAAAACTGAATAAAAGCTATGAAATAAGTGGCACTGAATAAATACTTGTAGACGAATTGCACTGCAAGTTTACAAACCATAGTGGGAACTTATTTCCATATTCGTGTCCGTAACTAGTTTTCCAAATTCGACGATTTACTCAGGCCTATTTTCAAATAATTGAGATATTTGAAATTATTACCTGGTCAGAACGGGTCATAAGATCCATTCCCTACATCTTGAAAGGGGAGCTGGCACTCAGCGATGTTGCATGGGATAATGCTGGAATGTAAATTGTAAAAGAAGTGATGTGCCGGAACTTCTCCCCGAATTCTCACGGCAAGTGGCAGTTGTTCTACCGTATCCTTCCTCTGGAAATTCAAACCTTCTGCTTGATAGCGCGCGATAGAGTGGGGCGAGCGCGATACACCGTTCGGGAGACGATATCACACCCGAAGAAGTGGACGCAACTGATATGATCTGATAAGGAGGCTCACTAGGCAAGTTCGGATCGCCCGCTAACGCTGGGTTCTCTTTTCATGTTGAAGTGCTCAGAATTAGTTGGTAGTAGCGGCCCATATCGGGTGGTCCGAATCGACAGTGACCAAACCGTTATTGTTATTGATCGCTTCGCTTATAGATATGTTCTCACCACATCTCTCAACTTCCTCAGAGCTAGGACACTGCTACTAAGGTAGGCAAAGCTGCTATTGATTGGTAATTTATACAACAGATCGGTGTCGCGAATCGGTCTATCAGCCAATAAACTTGAACTCGCACAACTTGAAACTAAGCACACGTGAACGCTCAGTAGCGTTCACTTCGCCACTTCTTGTGCCCAGAATCAACTAGCGAGCTAGGAACCGGGCAGGGTTTAAGCCAGAAACCGCTAGTAGTTTTCGACTTACGGGGGAAGTAAGCACTAATTTCTACGGTACCCTGGAGGGCAGGAAAGCGGCCAAAAATCAAAGGTTTGTTAAAGCACAGAGGAAGAAAAGCAAGCACCGAAGAAAAAAACCAGAGGGAGTCTAACTCCCTAACTAACTAACTAGCTAACTAACTAGTGATGACAAAAAGGGGGCTATTTATAGGAGGGAACTTCCGCCCAAGGTGAGGACTCCCGCCAAAAGAGGGTGTAACTCATGGAGGCGCCCTAGCATACATGCCTCCCCCCTGGGGCAGCGGCGTCCCTGTAACAGAACTAACGAGACCCTTTTGTCCTTTATCTTTATAGCAAACACCGAATCAAATCAACTTTAAAAATTCGCAACAACAATAACGGCAATGAAAAATTATTATGGTAATGGCCTAATTCTACTACGGAACGGTCAGGGGCTTAATGGAGTCGGTAATATCCGCGGCGCGCTCCTCGTCGCCTTTTAGTATGACAGTTGCCTCTGGACGCCGTGGGCTGGGATATCCATTGCGGGTACTGCAAAACTGGAAGTTGCGGCGTGTACATCTGTTGTGCCATCATGGTCGGATTAGGCTGCATCGTGCGTTGAACATTCCTAAATGAACCAGAGCTGCGTTTCACATCTCCTTTTTGAAATCCTCCATTGATTTGTTTCCTCTGCTTGAAGTAGAGACGAGTCCGAGACGAACGGCTTCTCGCAGCAGGTTGCAATGGAGGTAATTCCACTTCTGCTTTCACATAAATTCTCAGCGCTTCATAGTATCCCTGTACCCCTTCTTTTGAATATGCTTCTGCACTGGACCTTCTTGGATGAGCTTCGGGTCTGTGTGAGGGTTCTTGTGGTGATTCCATACTTGGAATGAGACACCTCAATCCCTGCTTCATGATGACTGCCGCCGATTTCACCAGTTCGATTGCTTCGATCATGTCCGATCTGTTCTTTGCGTACGATTTGTCTCCTCGAGGAGGAGCGACGGCGATCACCTTCATACCCATACGAGCTGCCGTGACGAGTGATGTCGCGAGTTTGTACCATTCGCGTTTGGGAATGAGCTCATCTGTCCTCGGACCGACCAGCGCGTAAATACCAACTGTAGAGCTCTCCAGAAGTCTTCTGATGTTGTTGAGTGTACCATATAACCGACGTTCCACATCTGGACTTTCCGAGAAGACAGTGCTGACGGCTCGGAAGCTGTCGGGCAGTATCATTAGGATCTTAATCCGTTCATCTACGACCGTCTCGTCCCAATCGTTGGCTTTGGCATACCGAACACCCTCGTTTGTGGCCTGGTTGAGTTCTTCCAACGGCAGGTTACTCCCGCCGTCGTGCGTAAGACATAGGAGCGAACCGTCATGGAGAGTCAGAGTTCGAAATACGTGGTCACAATACTTCTTATAAAATAGATACGCTTTCTGCACGCCTGTCGCTAATGCTACAACATTTCGAATCTAACATCAAAAATCGCCTGCGCTCTTCGGTTCACTCGTGTTCGTATATAGAAATCAAACGTGCTAAGGCAAAAATGGAATCAAAGTGGATATTTCCTATTGCTTCTGATACTGGCGGGACGGCGTCTTTGAATTTTTTCCCTCGAATAGCGCACAAGTACACGTATCCATCGTCATTTTGCCGGTACCTCCCTGGACAGCGGAAAAATATGAGGTTGTCGGAAAAGTATTTGCGCATTTCGGTTTCCATGTTGTGAAATCTTTGGGGATTGCTCTAGAGCCTTCACTGCGGAATATGTGTAAGTGCAGATCAATGCGCTCTCCATACCATATCTGCCGTAGCATTTCGCAACGGTTATGGCTGCAAGAATCGCTCTCGACTCAAAGCCAGCCAGACTATCTTTTCTTCATAAGTTCAGAAAAAAACTTTAATCCAAATTGAGCGACAGGAGGCATATGCGATGCGATAGGACCATTTATTGTCTCTAATAGCACATCAAGAAGTTGGTACAAGAAGTTCAAAAATGGCCACTTTGACTGGACCGAAGAACCACGATTTAGGAGACTAGCTGAGCTCAATGTTGACTATCTCCTGAAACTGAAGAAGATTCTAGGTTTAGTACCCAGCTGAAGCAAGAGCTCATAGCCATCACGACGCAACAGCTGTCCATTTGCGTCGCCTTGGGAAGACATGGAGATTCGGAGATTTGGATAAGTTTTGATCTGGGTGGTCACGACCTCCAAATGAAGAGGGATCCATGCCTAAACTTGATGACTTTCCGACGCACCTTCGCATGGCTGGAAGACTTAATCACTGGCGACGAGAAGTGTGTTCCCTACTCGAACCACACGAGGAAGCGTCAGTGCCTTAGTTGCGTAGAGCATTTAATCCCGACCTCCAATCCCGAATTCCTACCTCAGAAGGCAATGTCAAGCATTTGTAGCCAATCAACAGGATCATTCACTGGGACTTTCTACCACCGAACTCCGCTGTCAGCACAGAAGCCCAGTGTGCTCTGTGGACCGGATTGCTGCAGCTCAGAGAGAAAAACTCGGGAAAGTCTATTTTCTCCACGACAGTGCTCGCCCACACTTTTCGAAGGAGACCCAGAAGAAGCTTCAAATCCTGAGATGGCATGTTATGGCCCACCCACCGTGTTCACCGGACCTCACTCCAACGGATTATCATCTGCTCCTGTCGCTGTCGGACCAACCGAAAAATAAGAAGTTCGATTATGTGAATCAACTCGAGACGTACATTGACGAGTTTTCCAACTCGGAATCTCAGGAATTCTACGCAAGCAGGAACCACAAGTTGCCTGGTGAATGGCAATACCTTGTCGATAAGGATGGTGCATATATTTGTTAATTGTTTTTTATTGCGAAGGAAAAAAATAAATTCAAAAAAAAATTGCAAAAGGCGCAAATACTTTTCCGACAACCTAATAGACCGAGAGGGCTTGTATCGTCGCCTTCCGTCGTAGCTCTGCAAACAACTGTTAGCTTTTGCCTGACGCCGTTTTTTCTTCTTGTTGTGGTTACTCTTGCCGGACTTTCAACTTCAATCGGTACTACAATAAGCGAATCAAAAGGAGTTCGAATGGGTTCTTCCTTCTCATTTATATTAGACCAGTCGGGCCGCTCAGCTAACGCCGGGCTTCCCTCCTTATAGGTTCGCCCGGCTACGCCAAGCGCTCCTCCTGAGAAATTTGCTATGCGTAAATAACACTTCGTATTCCCCTTTTTCTTTGAAAGCTCTACACCGTCAGTATTTGTAGATTACTATCTTACTATCTGTAGATGTATTACTTCGAACTTTTTTTTCAGGTCCCTGAAGACGACGAGTTAGTCGAAACGTCGACCAAATAGACGGTTCCAT